ACTCCGAGCTTCCGCTTTGCGGCTGAGGAGCTGGGAGCAGAAAGCCACGTGCAGTGTAGGGTTACTGGGAGGAGGCGCCAAGGGACGTCAGTGCCGTAGGTGCTCGGGTGGTTCCCTAGGTTACCCTCCCCGGGGCCTGAGAACGAGGTTGGGAAAATACTCCGGTCCCCGGGGAAGGCCCACGCCCAGGGGCGGGACGGGGTGCCCTCGGGCTTTTACAGAACTCCTCCCTGGGGGAGTGACTGTCGACCACCGATGTCATTTTTATTTTTAAGTTTAATTTTTTTGTTTATTTTAAAAGTAACGGATAATTTGCGTTTTATAGAACGGTCAGAACACAAAGGTAGAATGGAAATTAAAAGATCGAATTCCTAGTGCCTCTTCCTGAAGATAAGTTCTGTAGCGATATGCAAAAGACATTTTCTACAAGTATACCGTGATATGTGCGTGCGTGAACATTATCATTTTGTTCATAACGAATACCCATCATTGAAGAGCGTCTGGCACGTGGCACGTGATAAAGGAAGTAACAGCTTCCTGGGTCCTTGGCATCTGCGTTCTCCCTCCATGGGCCCCTTGAGTGGGAGTCTGGTTCTGATTGCCCCTCATAGCTCTGCAGAGTGTCAGACAAGTGAGCCTCCAATGAAAGAGATAATATGGGCCCCATCATCGAGGAGGAATTCGGAGTAGAAGAGATACACCCAAAGAAGACTTGAGGGGTGTATTAAAAGGGGAGCTGAACTGACACTCAGCTTGTTTGGATTCCTGTCAAGGTTCTGTGGCCACCAGGACTGTTCAGGTTAGGGGTTCCCCCCTGCAAAGTGAGAAAGCTGGTTGATCTCAGGCCCTGCCAGTGTGGGAGGTGGTTTCAGGAAGGAGAGCTTTGCACTGAACTACAGGATCCCTCACATATACAAATATTCTGGCCAAGGGCTAACACATTTTCTTTTTTCTTTTTTTGTAATTCTTATTTTTTATTGAAATATAGTTGATTTACAATGTTTCAGGTGTACAGCAAAGCCATTCAGTTATACATATATACATAAATATATATTTTTTCAATTTCTTTTCTATTACAGCTCATTATAAGAAATTGAATATAGTTCCCTGTGCTGTACAGTAGGTCCTTGTTGTTTATCTGTTTTACATGTAGTAATAGAACAGATTCTTTATCCCACTGATTGGTGGCTTGTTTGTCGTTTGGCCATCTTGGCTGTCACCTGGGGCTTGGAAGCCTTCTTTAGGAGAGACTGAGGTGCTGATAGCACCTGTGAGTCACTCTCGAACCTTCAGGCTGTCTGAACTGGATGTGGCTTTCTTTGTTTTCTCCTTCTCTTCCTTTTCTGCCCTTGCATCCTTGTTCTTTCCCACCCAGAGTAGAATAGGAGACAGATGTCCAAAATGTGTCAGATAAATGTGTCGCATTCTGGACTAAGGGTTCTACTAGGCAGCTGATGACTTGGGCTTGATTGCTTAGTATTCCCAGAATGAAGTGCTCTTCATCCTAGTGCTTGTTGTTCCATCTCAAGGAAAGTGTCACCCCACAAATTTACCAGTCTCTCTCATTCCATCCCCCCACTTTCAAGGGGGTCATAGGTGGATTCCTAGTCAATTAGCCTTCACTGAACATCCTGGTTTCTATGCTGTTGTTTTCATTTTTTTCAAAATTTGTTTTTAAAATTTATGTACAATAGAAGTAACTCATTTTGATGTTCAGGTCTATGAATTTTGATGAATAGGTAGAGTCATGTATCCACCAAATGAGATACAGAACAAGTCCATCACCCCCAAACTGCCTCTTATACCATTGTGGTTCCCCCACCCTGAGCCCCTACTATCACTGATCTGTCCTCCACCCTTTAGTTCTATCTTTTCTAGAAAGTCCTATAAATGGAATCATACAGAAGGCAGCATTTGAGTCTGGCTTCTTCCACTTCGCACAGTGCGTTTGAAATTCATTCATGTGTTGTGTGTATCAGCTGTTCATTCCTTCTGCTCATGGCTGAGTAGCATTCCCTTGTATGAATGTGCCACTGTTTGTTTATCCATTCTTCCATTTTTTTAATTAAAAATGTTTTTATTGAAGTATAGTTGATATACAATGTTGTGTTAGTCTCTCGTGTACATATATATATATATATTTTCATTATAGGTTATTATCTCCCATGTTTTTAATAGTAGCCCTTTGAGATACTATGTCCCCATTAGACAGTGAGGACCTAGGTTGGAGATGCTAAATTTTGATCTAATTCCAAATCCAGGATTCTTTCCCACCACACCTAAGAGCTGATTTAGTCCACTGACCCAATTACCTTTTCTTTACTGCCCATCCAAGAGGTTGTGAGGCTCCTTGAGTTCCCGGAGGATTCCCTTTCTAGAACACCGGTCCTGGGGATTGATGAAGGAAACTATACGCCACAGTTTATGACTCATGATATGCGTTCCTCTTTTTCTGCCTAGTGACAAGCTCACCTGTTTTAGCATGATGGAGCTGCCCCAACCGTAAAGTATCTAAGGAAAGGAAGCAGTCTCATCAGCCCCAGGAGTTGGCTACATTGGGCAGCCCCACTAGGGCAGTGACGTAGCTGCCCGCTACAGTCAGGAGTGTGACCATCCTGTTTCACTCCCTGGACAGCCAGGAAGGAGAGACCTACCCAACCCCTGCGCCTCCCTCCACAGCGATGTCGGAGCTCAGCGACGAAGCCAGCGAGCCAGAGCTCCTGAACCACAGCCTGTCCATGTGGCACGGGCGGGGGGCGCAGGTCAGCCGGGAGGAGCTGGCCGTCCCTCTGGATCTTCACACGGCGGCTTCCATCGGCCAGTATGAGGTGGTGAAGGAATGCGTGCAGCGGTAAGAGATCTTGGCAAACATTCCTCCTCCTCGGAGTTTTGAGCCCCGTGGTTCAGATCCCAGGTAGAGCCACCAGTCAGAGCCAGCGGGGCCTCTTAACACGTGGATAGAATAATGGCTGCCCCTCTTGGCCAGTTGTCAATGACAATTTATGCCAGACGCCAATGAGGAAGGCTGTTTTGATTCCTAGGAAGAAAAAGATGCCTTAAACTTTTTTTCATTTAGGCTAGAAACTTCATTTCAGGCTTAACTTTAACCAGGGTAGTTTTATGGTTTTCCCTAAATACAGAAATGCTCAGAGAAACAAAACAAAAATAAAGATGGAAAGCAATGCCCTCCAGCCTTCTTTTCCCAGAGGGGTCATTTTAATCCCTCACACCTCCTCTCCCCTCTGACTTCTGCCGTGGAGGAGGAGGTGAGGTTTCTCTCCCCTGGAGGACTGCACTAACCACCCATAAGCCGTTTTTACAGCTCTTATGTGCATGCTATGTCCTGCTACAATGGCAGTGGCCCTCGGCAGTGGCCCTTAGCTCCTTCTTATTCAGAGTACACTTTTGATGCTCAGTGTAATTTTTGAAAAGGGATCAGCCTTCTCATCTCCACCCACTTTTGTCCACTACACTTTGTGCTCACTGTCACCATCTCATTAGTAACTTGGAGAAACAACCTACGTTCATACCTACCTGGGCCTTTTCTAGTTCCATTCTGGGGAGCCAAAGCACAGCCTCGTAGAAGCCCCGTTTCTGGTTCCTAGGTCATAGCCATCACTTACAAATATCTGGCCAGTTGAGTAGAGGTGCACTTGGTACCCCTGTACCAAGTGGATGTGCAGGCAGCCCATACCCCTGACAGGGTCACCACCTGTAGCCCTGCTCCTTTGGCATTCTCAGGCAGTTAAGCCTTTGGGTGTGTAGTAAAACCCACAGTCCAGAATGGCTCTGCAAAGGTGAGGGGCAGCATTTGTGTTCTGATTGTGGTAGTGGACGCTGGTGCACAGTGAGCACACACTCGGGACCCGGGGAGGGGCTGGACACATCAGAAGGGAGGATTCGGCTGAAGGGGGCATGTAAGAGCCCCAGAGGTGCTCTGCCAAGGGGTGGGCTTCTCTGTGTTCACATGGAATTGTGTCCCACCAGTGGAGTTGGTGCAGTGAGGATGAACTGGTCTCCATGCGGCTCTCCCAGCCAGTGGCAGCCCCTGCAGCGTGGAGTCAGGCCCTGTAGAATGGTTGTGTGGGCCAGTGCCAACAGCAGTGTAGAACATGCTAGCAGATGGAAAATAAATGTCTAATGTTGCTTAGTGTGCGTACCTGGAACAGGCCTGAACTGTGGGGGTCAGTTGTCACTTGGTAACTCCGCTGGAGGCTAGGACTGTGGAAGAGGAAAGGCTGGGGCCTGAACCAGGTAGGATGCTTCTGGAGAGGGTTGCTATTTCTGTACCCTGATCCCAGACTCTTAGTTGGGGAACCCACATTTTTTTTTTTCCTGAATTGTAATGGAAATCAGTGAGGAAGGTAGGATTTTTTGGTCACGGATTTTCCAAGAATGTTTCTATATGGTGGAGGGCAAAGGAGAAATCATTTTCAGTGGGACTTGTCCGTTATCTGAGTCCCTTCTCTTTCCTCTCCCCTTTGCACCAGACTCACAGACTCTGGTCTGTTGGTGGAAGGTGGTCAAGGCTCCAGGTCAGCGTTTCTTAGCCTCAGCACTCCTGACAGCCTGAGCCAGGTCATTCTGTGTTGTGGGGCCGTCCTGTGCACTGTAGGGTGTGAGCACTCCTGACAGCCCGAGCCAGGTCATTCTGTGTTGTGAGGCTGTCCTGTGTACTGTGGGCTGTCAGCACTCCTGACAGCCCGAGCCAGGTCATTCTGTGTTGTGGGGCCGTCCTGTGCACTGTAGGGTGTGAGCACTCCTGACAGCCCGAGCCAGGTCATTCTGTGTTGTGGGGCCATCCTGTGCACTGTAGGGCGTTGAGCCCATCCCTGGCCTCCACCCACTAGATGCCAGTCACTTTTCCTTCCCAGTTGTGACAACCAAAAATGTCTCCAGGCCCTGCCAACTGTCCCCTGGAGGGCAAAATCGCCCTTGGCTGGGAACTATCTATGTAGCTGGTGGGAAGAAAGAAGAGAATTGCAGCCTTGGGATAGGAGGAGGGCACAGATGGGAACCAGCAGTCAGAGGAGGCAGACACACTCAAAGGTGTTTGCAGAGGCAGTTGCACAGCAAATATAGCCATCTCCTCTCCCCCGTGACACCTGGGCTGGCGGGTGCTGCTTCCTGTCTGCCCTTCCAGCTCTTTCTCCTGGCCTGGCCTCGCCACCGGCTTGGGTACACCTCCCATGTGAGATGGCTGGCAGGTCTAGCATGTCTTGCGTTTGTTTAGGAGAGAGTTAGATTTGAATAAGAAGAATGGTGGTGGCTGGACCCCGCTGATGTATGCCTCCTACATTGGACACGATACCATCGTGCACCTGCTGCTCGAGGCAGGGGTGAGTGTGAATGTGCCGACCCCGGAAGGGCAGACTCCGCTGATGCTGGCTTCCAGCTGTGGCAACGAGAGCATCGCCTATTTCCTCCTCCAGGTGAGCTACAAGAGGCTCAGGCCAGAAACCCGAGGGCCCCCGGCCGCTCTGCAGAGACGTGAACCACTGCAGGCCACAGTGTGAGCATGCGTGTGCGCATATAATCACTTCCATTCTTCCAGCGTGACAGCCTGGAGGGCGCCCGCCCCACGCAGAGGAGACAGTGCCGTAACGAGCATTCTGTGTTCTCTTGAAGCAAGGTGCTGAGCTAGAAATGAAGGACATTCAGGGCTGGACGGCCCTCTTCCACTGCACCAGCGCCGGGCACCAGCAGATGGTCAAGTTCCTTTTGGACAGTGGAGCGAACGCCAATGTGAGGTGATTACCAGGTCTTAAGTGGCCTGAGGAGAGGGGCAATCACGTCTGACTCTGAGGAGGGCAACTGACAAGGCAGCTAAGGCCAGAGTGCAGGGTGCCCCTACCTCGGTTTGACAGATCAGGACAAAGGGGTGGAGGGGACAGTCCCACCCAGACGTGGAGGCACAGAGATCATCCTGGCTTTTCCATGCACCTGTCAGGTGATACTCTGTGCAGTCCATGAAGCTCTCTGTGCCTCATTTCTTTATCTGAAAACAGGACATAAGTACCTGTGTCAGAGATCTGTCAGAAGGATCACACGTCCTATTGTGTGCCAGGGGCCTGACTTAGCAAGTGACACTGAATTGACATGCGTTAAGTGCTAAATCCTTTCTCTTTCTTGCCTTCTGTGTGTCTCAGATGAGGCGATGCTTTGAAAACGGTCACGAGTTTTATAAGCTGGAAATAGCATTTTTGTCTAAAGCATGTCTTGATGAATAATCCTCTTTCAGCAAACAAAGCACGTACCAACACAGCATCCACCTGCCACTGCCCTAGCTGGTGTCATCTGTTGTACCACACTGTAGGGCCATGTGCCCCTAAGAAAGAAAAAATGCTGCTGATTAAAGTGCTACTCGTTTTTTGACGTTCTGACTTTAGTGATGCCAAAATGTGAAAACTGTGGGTCTTAGAACAGATAAAAACAGTAGTTAGCTTGATTCTTATCTTCTGGATCTGAAGCAAGTGAAGACTGGGAGGCACTCTGAAGACCGGGCTGAGTTAACTGTAACCAAGCACAAAATACAAGCCTCAGACACTAGGTGTAGTAAGGGCAGGGTGGCTTGTCAGCCCTGGAGCCTTGGGGAGAGTTCCTGGAGGGTGTTGAACTCTGGATAGGTGGATAGGAGGCACTAGCTGTCTGTGAGCCAGGAAGGGTGACAGCTGCTTTTTGCTTGTGATTAAGTGGAGATTCAGGCGGTAGCAGGTGGAGACAGTTTAGAAGGAGCAAGGATGGGAGACAGATTACTTCTGCCTGGAAGAACTCTCTGCCACCGATATGACTGTAGTCTCGATCTTGCAGGGAGCCGATAAATGGATTTACCCCTTTGATGGAAGCAGCTGCTGCTGGACATGAGATAATTGTGCAGTATTTTCTGAATCATGTAAGTGACCCTGTTTATTACCTTATAATTTAGTCAAATCAAGTGAGGAATCGTATCACTGAAGTATAAACTATAACAGAATTTGCTCCTGCATGGAAATAACTGCTCTTCATCCATTTATTCAGTATATTTCCTTGAGTATCTATTGATGCCAAGTAGTGAATGGTGCTTAGGCATTAGGGATACAGAGGTGAGTAAATATAGATATCTATTCCTTTTTGAAAAATTTTTTTTTGAATTTTGAAAATACAATTATTTGAAAGGTATGGAAAAATACTTTTAAAAAGTAAATAGCACTCATCATCCATCGCTTAAAAAAATGTATGTAGAATAAGAAGGCAGAGCTCTTCCTTCCTTCCCCAGCCACCCCTGTTCCTCCCCAACATGCCCCCTTGGTTGATAAAGAGACACTCAGGGGGGTTTTCTGCTTAGAAAGTATTTCTGTATATACCTGCAAACACATGGCGTTTTGTTTTGAGCAGAGTGGGGTTCTACTGTGTATTTGCCCTGCAGCTTCTGAGAAATCACTTAATATGCCCTAGACATCTTACCCTTGTACGGTATTCCATGTATAGTCCATGCCATAGTTAATCCAGTCAGTTCCCTTGTAGGGATGAGTCAGTTTGTTTCATAGTGGTCTGCAGATAGACTCAGGTCATGTTTGCTATCATGCACGGTGCTGTGCGGAGTATCTGTGCACAAACATCTCCACACAAGTGTGGCCATGTCTATACAGTTCGGTACTAAAGGTGGGAATTTTGGATGTAGCCTAAATATAGCTTTAACATGGATGTTGCCAAATTGCCATCCAAAGAGTAAGTTGGAGGGTCCTTATAAAAGGGATTAGTGCTCTTCTAAAAGGGACCCCAGAGAGCTCTCTTGCCCTCTGTCAAGTTTATCCCTTCCCACCTCCTTTCCCTGGTAACCATAAAATTGTTTGCTATATTTGCAATTCTGTTTCTGTTCTGTAGGTGAGTTCATAGTGTCCTTTTTTTCCTTTTATTTATTTATTTTTAATTCCACATATCAGTGATCTCATATGGTATTATTCTTTCTCTTTCTGGCTTACTTCACTTAGAATGACAATCTCTGGGTCCATCCATGCTGCAAATGGCATTATTGTATTCTTTTTTATGGCTGAGTAGTATTCCATTGTATAACTATACCACAACTTCTTTATCCAGTCATCTGTCAGTGGACATTTAAGTTGCTTCCATATCTTGGCTATTGTAAATAGTGCTGCTGTGAACATTGGGGTGCATGTATCTTTTCAAATTAGAGTTCCCTCTGGATATATGCCCAGGAGTGTGGTTACTGGATCATATGGTAAGTCTATTTTTAATTTTTTGAGGAATCTCCATGCTATTTTCCAGAATGGCTGCACCGAACTACATTTCCACCAGCAGTGTAGGAGGGTTCCCTTTGCTTCACACCATCTCCAGCATTTATCATTAATGGACTTCTGAATGTTGGCCATTCTGACTGGTGTGAGGTGATACTTCATTCTAGTTTTGATTTGCATTTCTCTGATAATTAGTGATATTGAGCATTTTTTCATTTGCCTGTTGGCCATTTGTATGTCTTCATTAGAGAATTGCTTGTTTAGGTCTTCTGCCTATTTTTTGATTGGGTTGTTATTAAGTTGTATGAGCTGTTTATATATTCTGGAAATCAAGCCTTTGTCAGTCGCATCATTTGCAAATATTTTCTCCATTCCATAGGTTGTCATTTTGTTTTGCTTATGATTTCCTTTGGTGTGCAAAAGCTTATGAGTTTAACTAGGTTCCATTTGTTTATTTTTGTTCTTATTTCTATTGCCTGGGTAGACTGCCCTAGGAGAAACTTGCTAAGATTTATCCTCACTTTATACTTTCATCGCATGCTGTGTGTCCTTAAACAATACATAGACTTGTTTTATATATCTTCAAGATTTACATAAGTGATATATTTATATAATGACTGTACATGTCATTCAGTAAAGTGCAGTACCTATAGATGAGTTCACTCATTTATCAGCTCTGTATTTATTGAATGTAGGAATACAGTATATTTTCCATTTTTCTTTCAGCAGACACTTGAGTTGTTTCCATTTTACCATTCCTAACAGTGCTGCAATTGGCATTTTTTATCTGTCCTCCAGGGCATTTCTTCAGGAGGTCAGGTTGTGTTCTTCAGCACAGAATTGTGGGTGTGTAGGGTGGGTGCATCTTCATGAGAGTGTACACCTTGCTCTCCTCCATAGGTGTCCCAGCTCATACTCTTCTGATGGTATTTTACATAGCACTCATTTCCTGTACTCTCCGAATCCCTGGAACGTGGTGTCAGATGAGTGGTCTCCTGTTGATTTTTACCTTCCCCTGATTTCTGGTGAGGTTGAGCATCTTTTCATGTATTTATTGGCCATCTGGACTTCCTTTTCTGAAAATAATTTTCTTTGAAAGTAATTTCACTCACACATACTCGGCCTCCTTGAGACATGGCACAAGGTAAAGGTCGATGGATAGGAGCCTAGACTGTGAAAGCATAACCTCTAGGTAGAACTGGACATCAGAAGGACAGTTACACTCTCCTTTTAAAAACTACTAGAGTATTAGAAAATCAGAGCCTTCACAGCATTGGTCTCCCATACAGGTTACGTCCTCATTTGGTGCCTTTACTCCCCGAGCGGTCTGAGATGGTGTGTGGGCGCCTTGTATGGAGGGAAAACAAATCATACTGGATTTCTTTTGGAAAATTTTCTGAATTTAAAATTTTGAAATAAGTTCAGACTTAAATGTTACAAAATAGTATAAAGAATGTGTGTACCTTCACTAGATTTCCCAGATGTTAGCATTACACTTCATTTTCTTTCTTAGTTTCTACTTATATACATATTATGTTTTTAGAACCATTTGAAAGTGAGTTGCTGACATAATGCCCTTTTCCCCCTAAATACTTTAGTATATATTTCTTAAAACAAGGATTTCCTCTTTCATCATCACATACAGTATCAAACTCAGGGAATCAACAGTGAGCCCTTACTCCAGCACACTCATCAGGAGTGGAGGTGTTGGTCAGTTCTAGGGGGTCGCTTTCAGGCTGAGGGGCCGACAGGCACGGCTTGGAGCGTGTGGCTAATGGGCTAAGGTGTTCAGTTCTGGGAGGCCGCCTGGCTAGCCCAGTGTGGGTGCTCCTCATTCCCTGCAGATTTCCTGTGCTCAGTCGTGGGTGGACCCCAGGGAGCCAGAGGGGTGGAGTGGGCCCCTGACCCGGCCCCAGAGCCAGGCTCCATGTGTGAGATGAACTGGATAAGGCCGGACGCCCATGCTCTTCCCAGGGGAGGAAGGGGCTGTGGCTGCTTCCTGCGCACCCCATCTGCCTCGTCCCAGGGGGACCAGGCCTCAAGCTCAGTTGGGGCAGGGTGGGCTGAAACTCTCCTAGAAGGGAGCTGAGGGTGGGTGCTGTGGCCTCCTCACAGGGAGTGCGCCCCCGCTGCGCCAGTCCATGGTCTCACACCTCTGTGTCCCACTTTCCTGTCAGTTAAAATGAATTCTCATCATGTTCTTCTCTAGTAATAAATGATGTACCTTATAAAATGGGAAGAAAAATAGAAAAAAATTAAAGGATAAATAGACAGAAATGCTAATATTTCCTTCCTCAGGGACCTTCTTGTCATCAGTTCTGTTTTCTCCCTCATTTCTTACTAAGGAATCGTGTTACTGCCCCCCCCCTTTAGTATCATCTTAAGTTGAAGTCTTCCAGGCTTAAAAATAAATACTACTTAAAATCCTTCAGTAAAGATGGTTTTGTTTGTTCTGGCTGAAACCTTTGGGTCCTTCTATCAAACTGAAACTAGAAATTATCTTTTTTTTTTTCCAGTTTTATTGAGATAAGATTGACATACATCACTGTTTAAGTTTGGTGTGTACAGCATAATTATTTGACCTAAGTATATTGTGAAATGCTTGCCACAGTAAGTTGAGTTTCCTCCATCGTCTCATACAGATACAAATCTCTATATATACAGACTTCAGAGACTACTACAGAGCTACAGCAATGAATACAGAGTGATATTGGCACAAAAACAGACACATGGATCAATGGAACAGAATAGAGAGCCCAGAAAGAAACCTGCACACCTATGGTCATTTAATCTTCAATAAAGGAAGCAAGAATATACAGTGGAGAAAAGACAGTCTCTTCAGCAGGTGGTGTTGGAAAAACTGGACAGCCACATATACATAAATGAAGCTAGAACACTCCCTCACACCATACACAAAAATAAACTCAAAATGGTTTAAAGACTTAAACATAAGACAAGACACCATAAACCCCCCAGAAGAGAACATGGGCAAAACATGCTCTGATACAAAGTGTAGCAGTGTTCTCCTAGGGCAGTTGACCCAAGCAGTAGAAATAAAAGCAAAAATAAACAAATAGGACCTAATTAAACTTACAAGCCTTTGCACAGCAAAGGAAACTATAAACAAAATGAAAAGATAACCTACGGACTAGGAGAAAATATTTGCAAACCATGCGACTGACAAGGGCTTAATTTCCAGAATACAGAAACAGCTCATATAACTTGGTAACAAAAAGCAAACAACCCAGTGAAAAATGGGCAGAAGACCTAAGCAAACAATTCTTCAGTGAAGACATACAAATGGCCAATAAACACATGAAAAAATGCTCAATACCGCTAATTATCAGAGAAAGGCAAATCAAAACTACAATGAGGTATCAGCTCACAGCAGTTAGAATGGCTGCCATGAAAAAGTCCACAAGCAATAAATGCTGGAGGTGTGGCGAAAAAGGAACCCTCCTACACTGCTGGTGGGAATGTAATTTGGTGCAGCCTTTATGGAAACCAGCATGGAGATTCCTTAAAAAACTAAATGCAGAGTTACCATATGATCCAGCAATCCCACTCCAGGCATATATCCAGAGAAAACTAATTTGAAAACATACATGCACCCGAGTGTTCACAGTAGCACTGTTTACAATAGCTGAGATATGGAAGCAACCTAAGTGTTCATTGACAGATGATTGACTAAAGAAGATGTGGCATATATATACTGCTCAGCCACAAAAAAGAATGAAGTAATGCCATTTGCAGCAACATGGGTGGACCTAGAGATTATCATACTAAGTGAAGCCAGAAAGAGAAAGGAAAATACCATGTATCACTTATATGTGGAATACCAAAAAAAAAGGAAAAAAGGACACTATGAACTCATCTACAGAACAGAAAACAATCTTATGGTTACCAGGGAAAGGAGATGGGAAGGGATAAAATGGGAGTTGGCGATTTGCAGATACACACTACTGTATATAAAATAAACAAGGTCCTCCTATATATTCAATGGCTTGTAGTAACCTACAATGAAAAAGAATATATATATATATATGTATAACTGAATCACTATGATATACACCATACATTGTAAATCAAACTGTACTTCAGTTTTAAAAACTCTATATGTTATTTCCTTGTGATGAGAACTCTTTGGATTTACTCTTAATAACTTTCCTAGATGACACACATCAGTGTTAACTATAGTCATCATGTTGTACATTACATCCTAGTTTCTACTTATCTTTCAACTGGAAGTTTGTACTTAAAAAATTTTTTTTGGAGGTATAATTGATGTATAATATTTTACATTATAGGTGTACAACATAGTGATTCACAATTTTTAAAGGTTATACTCCATTTATAGTTATTATAAAATTTTGGCTGTATTCTCTGTGTTGTACATAATTTATCCTTGTAACATTTTTTTGGTGGAGGGAGGTAATCAGGTTTATTTATTATTTTTTAAAATGGCAGTACTGAGGAGTGAACTCAGGACCTCATGCATGCTAGGCATGTGCTCTACCACGGAGCTATACCCTCCCCCCATAGCTTATTTATTTTATATGTAATAGTTTGTAACTCTTAGTCTCCTACCCCTGTCTTGTCCCTCCCCCTAGGAAGATTGTTCCTCTTGACCACCTTCGTCCAGCCTCCTCTCCTCCTACCCTGCCTAGAAATGATCTTTTAAGGCTCAAGTTTTCTAACTAGAGCTCTGGAAAGTGGGGGATTATAGAAAGTAAAGCTCAGTTAGGCTGTTGTAAAAATGCAGCTTTTTCCTACCAGAGGGAAGTATGATAATCACCTTCTGTACTGGCTCAACCAAGATCAATCAAGTCAGTTGATCATAGTTTTCCAGATTAGGGGAAAACAGTACACATATATAAATACTTATTATACAAGTGATATATACTTGCTATAAAAAGAATTAAAAAGTACAGTTAAGCAAACAACTGTTTAAATAGCCAAGACATGGAAACAACCTAATGTCCATCATCCCATCAACAGATGACTGGATAAAGAAGTAGTGGTATATTTATACAATGGAATACTACTCAGCCATAAAAAAGAATAAAATAATGCCATTTGGAGCAACATGGATGAACCTGGAGATTGTTATTCTGAGTGAAGTAAGCCAGAAAGAGAAAGAAAAATACCATATGATACCGCTTACATGTGGAATCTAAAAAAAATGACATGAACTTATTTGTGAAACAGAAACAGACTCACAGACATAGAAAACAAACTTATGGTTACCAGAGGGGGAAGGGGATGGGAAGCGATAAATTGGGAGTTCTAGATTTGCAGTTATGAAAATAGATAAACAAGTTTATACTGCATAGCACAGGGAACTGTATTCAATATCTTGTAGTTCCCTGTGGAACGGCTGGGCAGAGGACCGTGCACGCTTTCAGCCCCAGCTGCCTCCTGCTGGGCTGCCCTTGGAGCATGGGCTCCGGTAGCTCTGCCTCAGCTGCAAGACCGCACGGCTGGAGCTCTTAAAAGTGGGAAGCTTCTGGGCTTTTCCCGTTTCAGAAGTAAACATGTTCCTAGTAACTTTAGAAAATACAGAAGATGAGGAAGGTGTGAAAAAATCCCCGTTATCTTACTGCTTAAAATAGCGCCAACAGTTGGGGCATATTTCTTTCCAGTATTACTTTCTGTACACGTTTTGGGTTTGTCTGCAGCTATAATGTGTAGGCAGTTTTGTATCATGGTCCTTTTAAAAAGTTGGTTATAACTTGGTTATTTGTAAATACCCGCATTTATGGCAGTAACACAGCTGACTCTCTACTCCCCCAGAGCATGGAAGTCATCTCCAGGTTTTTATTACTGCAAATACGTTGTGCTGAAGACTAAGTACTTTTTAGGACTTTGGATAAAAGTTACCAAATTCTGTTTCAGAAGGGTGGTGTTCCCGATCCGATTGTGGTTTTTAAAGGCTGCCCCTCAGGTGAATCTGTTGTCCCCAATTTTCTCTGTGGGGAGAGATGGAGCAAGTGGGCCACACGCCAGGTGCAGAGGGTGAAGGTTGGGCTCCCCGGCCCAGCAGCCTGCAGCCTGCCCGCCCTCCCTCCCCGCTGAGTGTGCGTCAGAAGCCAAAGGTGTTATTTAGAAGGGAGCTTGCTAGGGCCTTGGCCTCTTCCTCGTAGGGCTCTGGGGTCGTAGGGGAAGAAGCTGGCCATCTCCGGGGTCCACAGCCCCTAAGTGAAGCCAGGGTGCTTTGCAGGGTAGGGTCCTAACTCTTCTTTCCCGAACTTTCACAGGGAGTCAGAGTGGACACGAGAGACCACAGTGGAGCCACAGCCCGGATGCTGGCCAGGCAGTACGGACACATGAAGATCGTGGGGCTGATTGACGCCCACTCACCGTCTCTGCCCCAGAGCGTCTACCGGAGCCCAGGTACCGGCATCTGTGGCCAGGCCTCTGCTGGCATCCTGTCCCCGAGAGAAAGGAGGCTCCTCCTTCCCGGGCTCCCACTGCTCCTTGGAGCTTTGCCCGAGACCTTCTCAACACCCCCACCCCATGACTCCGTCTCATCGGCAAGGTGGGGGCCCGCTGGGCTGAGGGGAGGGGTGTGGAGAGCAGAGCAGGATGGCCAGGCTGCGGGTGGGCAGGACACAGGGCAGCTCACAGAGGGGCTCGCTCTGGGTTTCCTTTCCTGACTTTGCTCATAGTTGTTGCCATGTAAAATGTTTTAATTTTAAGTAGTCAGATTCATCAGTCTTTTATTTCCTCTGGGTTTTAAGTCACAGGAAGTCTTTCCCTGTGCCCTGGTTGTACAGGAATTCGCCCGTCTTCCTCTGGTTCTTGTCTGGTTTCATTTTCTACATGCAGACCACCGATCATTCACTTTATTTTCACGTGTGGAGGGAGGTGGGGTTTTTCAGCTGGCTGCCCCGTTGTCCTAGCATCCATCATCTGTTTAGAAGTCCATTTCTGACCCAGTGGTCTGAGGGGCCGTCTTTATCATATAGTCTGAATTTCCCTTTGTGTCCAGGTTTGTCTCTGGATTTCCTATTCTGTTCCACCGGACCCTGTACACACGTCTGTAAATGACAGGGGCATTTTCTGACATGTTTGACCACCTGCTAGGGCTGGCCTCTCGCAGCTTCCCTTTCCCTACATTTCTTGGCTCCCGCTCGCTTAATTTTTGGTATGAACTTGAGCATCCTCCTGTCTAGCTCCTTAAAGACAGTGTGTTGATATTTTTGAGATTGTGGAAAATCTGTAAATTAACGACCTCTTCATGCTGTTAAGTTGTCCTTTTGTTCAAGTGTACTTTTATGTCCTGCAGGACAATTTTAAATTTTCCCTCATGCACGTTTTGCATACAACTTCAGCTTATTCCTGTGTGTCTGATTTTCCTCGTTGCTGCTGTAAACGTGTTATACCTTGAGGCTGCCACTCCAGCCCTCACTGCCTGTCGCCTGTGAAGAGGACAGCGGTTGATGTCCACCAGTTTTATGTTCTGCTGCCTGACTGAGTTCTTTCATTGTCTGAGTTAGTTTTCTTCATTGATTCCCTAGTTTTTTCCAGGTACACTACCATAAAACCTGCAGAGAGAGACAGACTTACTACTTTTTTTCAGATCTTTATACCTCTCATTCCTTTGGTTTCGTTGCGCTTGCTGAAGCCCCTGGTGCCCTGATGAATATGGTGGAGGAAGCGGGCATTCACTGTTGTCCGATGTTAGAGGAAATGCCACGTTAAGTAAGATGCTGGCTTTCAGAGTAAGGTTTGCATATGTGTTAGCATTTTAAGAAAGTGTCTGTCATTTCCTATATTCTTGAATGTTTCTTAGAGGAGTAAGTGTTGAATTTTGTCAAAGGCTTTGTCAACATCTATAGAGATGATTGTGAATTTCCTCACAAAAAATATAATACAATATATTGCATTAATGAGTTTCCTAATAATGAACCAATTTTACATTCTTGGCATAAATCCCACTTGGTGCATTACTTAATGTGGTTTTGGATTCCATTTGCTAACATTTTATTTATTATTTTAATCACAAGTGACATTGGTCTGTAGTTTTTGCTGTTCTGCCTTTATCTGGTATAGGTCTCAATATTATACTTGCTGCATAAAAAGAACTAGGAAGGGCCCCTTCCTCTTGTGCTCTGGAACAATTTCTGTGGCGTTGGTCCTGTGTGGTCTGTGGGGGCTTCTCCTGTGAATCCACTTGGGCCGGTCTTTGCCCTCGCCTTTCTGTGTGGCATTTTCCTAGACCCGCTTGTCTCTGTGCAGAGAGCGAGGCGAGCGACAAGGAGCCTCTGCTGGAGCGCGAGTCCGTCTCCTCCTCACTGGAGGGAGGCGTGCTGACGTTGGTGGGGTCCCCGCCGCCTGGGCCGTGTTGGAGTTGGGGTGCATGTGGGTCTGTCCGTTCTGCTGACTGTGCAGGCTCGAAAGGACGTGTCGGGAGGTTCAGGCTGAGGGAGCTGCCTTTTCCTCAGTTACCTCCCTGTACCTTTATCTTCTGTGACTCCCTCAGCTTCTGCTTGGACGGACCCAGGCTCCCCCTGGAGGTGGCCATCCTGGTGTGGGAGGGACTGACTGGGCCACTCAGGGTCACTGGCCGGCTTTGGAAACGGGCCAGTGACCCCTCACTTTCCCGACAGTGGCTGGTCTGAGGCTTCAGCTCACACCTGAGCAACCTGCTCCCTTCCTGGCCACAAGACTGTTCTGTAACAAACACCAGCATGTGAGGACAGGGGTGCGGTGCTAACAGGGACTCCTCGGTGTGTCTCCACCCCAGTTCACCAACTCCAAAATGAGATCTTACCAATGGGAGCCTTCTACAGATCAACACCCCCCCCCGAAATTTGCTTTCTAGGTGTGATGAGATATGGAAAATGGAGAAAAGCTATAAAATGCTAATGGCTGTGCGCACACTGATCTCATAAGCTCATAAGCTCATATGGGTGGTGATTTGAAATATTTCATGAAGCAGCAAACAGAGCCGTCAGGTGGTGCTTATTTCCCAAGAAGTTGTTCAGGGAGGGAGTTGTTCAGGCTCAGTGGTAGAGTGTGTGCTTAGCATGCATGAGGTCCTGGGTTCAATCCTCAGTACCTCCATTCAGTAAGTAAATACATAAAAATAAACCTAATTGCCTCCCCGCAAAAAATTTTTAAAAAATTAAAAGAAGTTACTCATGTTGGGAACATAAAATTGCTTAGGAAGTTGTGACTGCTGTTGTTTATGTTTATGAAGAGGTGGGGCTTACTTGCCACTTCAGCCTAGAACAGAATTTATTTCTGACTGTAAACGTAATACAGGCTTGTAAGAAATTCTGGAAACCCAGACAGAGAGAGGAAGAGAACAGAACCCCTCATCATACTCAGCAAGCTTGCCACCCCCCAGGCATCCTGGTGGGCCGGCCTTGGGGCATTTCTCACAGGTGACATCCTGGGAAATACTTTTCTTTTTCTCAATTTAAGAAAACCAATTACAATGACTTTCTTCTAGTTCATTTTGAGGATTACTAGATTAGTCCATCACTGAATAAACTGTCTTAATTTTGGTGTTTGACCCACAGAAAAATTTGAAGATCTGAGCTCTTCGGATGAATCCTGCCCGGTTCCTCAGAGACAGAGGCCCTGCCGGAAGAAGGGCCTCAGCATCCACGAGGGGCCGCGAGCCTTGGCCAGGATCACTGCCATCGGGCTCGGGGGCAGGACGCAGCAGCCTCGCTATGGTGAGCGGCCCACGGCCCCTGGTGGCCTTGACACTGGAGTCCGGGATTCTGTCCTGATCCAGGCTCCTGACGTGTGGGCTGCCAGGTGGGAGCAGCAGCAGCAGCTCAGGGACTCAGGACAGATCATAGGGATGGAGACACGTCAGTTATTGGCTCACTCTTGGGTTTTGGTTCATCCTTTGATTTTCCTTTTCATTGGTTAAAATTAAAAATAGAACATTCTCTCATGGAGCAGAAATGTAGCTGAGGTCGGACCCATTTATCACGCGGGTGGCTCAGTCAGAGGGGGAAATGCCGCATCCCCTGGGGAGGACTCTGCCCCTGCGCGCTTTCCTCAAAGTGATGGGTTTGAGAGCTGTCGGATGGCACACATCCGGGGGGCCGGAGCCCTAGACCCGAGTTTCCAGATCTCCTGACTGTTGAGTGTGATGCTCGTGGGGAGCTCGGGTACCAGTGGTTCTTGGGGCGAGTTGGGTTTGATGCTCTCTTGCCGCAGGCCTGACTGAATGAGCAGACTTACGTGTGGGTTACTCATCAGTGGCCAGGCTGCTGGTCTAGCAAGTGGGCGTCTGCCGCTGGGCGTGGAGGACCCGACTCCCAGTCAGGCTGGTGTGTGTGTTTCAGTCAAGACTATGTGAGAACTTGATTCCCTTCTCAGACCCTTGGAAGGGGTCCTGGTGCTGGTTGGGAACTCTGGGCCCACCTTCTCCCTTCTCCCGTCGTCCTGGCTGGGCAGAGTGGGAGCACAGTGCTGGAGCAGAGTCTGTTCTGAGCAGCCCACGCCCCTGTCCCGCCTGAGGTCGGGTGGGGCGTAGGAAAGACCCACCACCAAGGCTTTTTAAATGGAAAATTCCTTCAAGTTACCAAAAGTCTGTGGCGAAGCCCATCTGTACAGCTCTTGTTTATGCACCACAGAGGAGCTGGTGGTCACCAGAGTGACAGCCGGAGCTGTGTCTCAGTTGTGGCATCTCAGGAGATTTTGTATTTCCTCTTACACTTTGTGATATTTAAATTTTCCAGCAAGTGTATATGTCCTCTTTGCCAACAGGTAAAAAACACTTGAATGATAAAGAGCATGTGCTGATTGTGAAAAATCTCTTAATTATAGAAGGGTATAAAGAAGAAAACACATCACCTGTGATCCCACCAGCCGGGCTTTCATGCAAATGCAGTTTCCGTGGGGAAGGGACAGGAGCAAGATTGCACTTAAACTCTCTGGTGTGTGTTCTGCCGCTTCTTGTTTCCTCGTAGACAGGTGCGCTCAAAGGTGACGACATTTGGTGTTGCTGCTGGTCATGTTTAGCCCAGGGCCTCTTACCTTCCTGCTCAGCCAGCCCTCCTTGTGGCTGGGCTGACTGACCCAAGGTGGAGCGCCCTGTGCTGGAAGGTCACAGGGGCGTGGCCGCGGTGTGTGTGTGAGGGTAGATGTACCCAGCAGAAAGGAACCCCTCATGGGATAGTTTTACTCTGGCTCAGGAATCTCCTTTTTTCTCTTGGAAAAGCCACGGTGATGCTGAGAGCACCAGCCTGGGCCGGGCCGGGTTCTGCTGCGCACTCGCTGTTGGGCACAAACTGGCCCCTCACCTCTCGGAGCCCATGTCCTCCCCTGCAGACTGCACAGTTATGTCCAGGCCACTGGGGCGAGTAGAGAAGCTGGTCACTACGAGCTGCCTGCCGGCCTGCGTCCTGGGTTCCCCCACCGGCCAAGATTCCTCTAAAGCGGCGGTTGCATTTGGAAGGAAGATCTCATCTTGCTTTTTGTGTGTGTGTAGATTCACGTGCCCTATTCTGTCCACAGAGCAGGTGCCTCCCCGGGGCTATGTCACCTTCAACAGCAGCGATGAGAACCCCCTGGAAGAGGGGGGCCTCTGCTACAGGGACGTCACCTCCCCCATCAACGAGCGGGACGTGGAGAGCAGCAGCAGCAGCAGCCGGGGTACGCGCCAGCCCCCCGACACACACACCCGTCCAGCAGGGCCGTGGCACTGTGATGAGTCCGTCCAGCAGAGGAGGGGGCAAGTTAGAGAAGGCTCTGGCTCTCGTGAGGAGAGTCAGAGAATCTAGCAGGGGGACAGGTGAGGAGACTTCTTGCCCAGGGCCTCTCCGGGCAGGATGGGGGGGGTCACTCCAGACAGAGGTTTAGCCTGCTGACTGGTAAGCCCTCAGGAAATGTCCTTGTATGCTACACGTATGGTCCCTTCACCAGCTGTTTAGCGAGTGCCCTCTGTGCCAAGCACCGTTCCAGATGCTTGGATTTATCAGTGACCAGAGCAGACACAACCTGGCCAAGTGTAGAGGGTGGGCTTGGCCAGGCAGTCAGCATGAACAGAATAAACAGTAGCTACTGAGAGCTGCGGAGGAAACAGCTTGGTGCAGGGCTCGGGGGAGTCGCCACGGGCGAGGCCTGTGGTCAGGCGTCCTCATCTTCGCCGTTGTCAGAAGAGCACGCCTTCTGTGCCAACCTCGGGGCCGCGCGGAGCAGCAGCAGCAGCGAGGCCCTGGCGAGGGCCCCGGGACTCAGCAGCGAGGCCTCCCTGGAGAGCAATGAGGTGACCTTCTCCTCCCCTCTTGCTCTCCCACCTCCCTCCCCTTTCCTGGCGTCAGCTGAGGTCTGCTACAAGGGTTCACTGCGTCCACGCTGTGCCTAGACGTACCCGGAGCACCGCTGGGTTTGTGCCCCAAGGACCCTGGAGGCAGTCACCGGGGAAGCCTCTGTGTGGCAGGCGGGAGGGTTTCATGAAGGGTTTCAAACTGACCCAGCCCGTGAGGGAAGTGGCACAGATGGCGACGCAGACGCTAGAGCTGTGGGGCGGAAAGCAGAGTTTGGACACAGCCATGTTAGCTGTGAGCCCTTCGGAGTTACTTTAAACACATCTCTCACTGCAGGATTCAGATCATGCACGTAAAAGCTCAGTTCGCAAACAAACTAAAAGTTATGTGAAGACTAAGAGCCGTCACAGCAGTAGTGACAGCCAGTGGCCTCCTGGCACCGGGACTTCCTGTTCCCCGGGATCTGTCCCCCAGACTGAGAGGTCCCCGTATTCAGGACCCCAGGTAAGACAACTTGTGAAGCTGGTGGGTACACTGTTAAAAGGATGGGGCTTTTGTGATCTGTGAGGCATTTATTTGAGAGACGAGAGTGGGGTGGTTCTTCCCCAAGTGACCTATAGAGCTGCTCGGGCGGAGAGGATGCTTAATGGCGAGAGGGGCCAGCGGCAGGGTTTCTGTCCGTCCCCTTGGTTTCCACGTTCAGCCCAGCCTTCCTGAGTCCTGGGAGGAGCAGCACAGGACCGATGTCGTGGAGCTGCTTTTTGGCGACAGTGACAAGATGCACATGAAGCAGTGACAGGTGGCAGCCAGCGCTCAGCGAGAACTGTGGTTTCTGCTTCTTGTCATCGTGGCTGCGCTGGCTCCGCAGTTACTTGGTTACAGGTGCATCAGCAGCTCAACTGTCTCATGTGTTTCAAGTGTTTGCTATTTATCACTTCAAGTCAGGGCTCTGCTCTTCGCTTAAAGCCTGTGGTTTTGCTGATTTCTCCTCGCAGCCCCCGGGGAGCTCTCCCCAGGGTTTGTGTTCCCGGCCCGGTGACCAGCTGGCCTCTTGAGGCCTTAAGCACATGTTGACTGGAGACTTTAAATCAGCTCTTTAAAATATATTCCAAGACCTAAAAGAAACCATCTCTAAATATTGAAAGTGACAGAAATAAAAGTAACCAAATAGAAATTCTGGAGTTGAAAATACAGTAACTGAAGTGAAAACTTTACTAGAAGGGCTCGACAGCAGATTTGAATACACAGAAGAGAGAATCAGAAAACTTCCTGTAGCTCAACTGAGGTCGTCCGATCTGAGAGATGAAGAAGAATGGAGAAAAGGACCCAACACCTGTGAGACCACAGTGGTGCTCCTAGGGAGGAGGGAGAGAAAAGCAGGGAAAATGTTTTAAAATAGCCAGGTTTTCCCAGATTTGATGAAGAAATGGATCTGCGCATCTATGAAGCTGAACAAGCTCTAAGTCGGTCAAACTCAGAGCCACACCTGGACACATCACAGACCATCAGAAGACACAGAATCTTGTGACAAGTGACTCAGCACATCCAAGGGCATCTCCAGAAAATTTACAGGACATTTCTCATCAGAGGGGATAACGTGTTCAAAGAAGTGAAAGAAAACTCAGCCAAGAATGCCACATCAGCAAAAGCAAAAACTCCCCCAGGTGAAGGGGAGATGAAACTGGTTGAGGGTCTGCAGAGGCTGGGGAGTCACTGCTGTGGACCTGCCTCGGGATGTGCCTTGTGTTGTGCCCCTGCCTGCAGGGCCCACCTGTGTTCTGACCTGCCCTCTGACCGCCCTGGCTCCTTGCCCCCTAGGACCTGGCCACGCTGCTGGAGCAGATCGGCTGTCTAAAGTACCTGCAGGTGTTCGAGGAGCAGGACGTGGACCTCCGCATCTTCCTGACCCTCACCGAGAGCGACCTGAAGGAAATCGGCATCACGTGAGTCCACGGGGCCTCCGTGGCCAAAGAGCCCTGGGACCGGCTGGGGTTGCAGCTCCCAGCATTCAGGTGGAGGGCTGCCCTGTCCAGAGGCCGGCTCTTTCCCTGCGGTTAGCTGTCCGCCACTCCTGGCTGACGTCCTGTGCAGGCCCAGTGGACACTTCTGTGTTCAGGGCACCCAGATGTTTCCTGCTGTTCACTTTTGAGTGTTCGGAGTTGGCAGACGGTCATCCACAGGTCCCTGTCCAGGGAAAGCAGCAGCCAGGGATGCCACCCCACCAGAGCGGGGAGGCTTGTCACAACTCACAACTCCTCATGTTACTTCGTGTCCTCTGTTCCAGGATCCCGGGGAGCTACTCTCCCCCTTCAAAGCTGGGCCTTTTCTAGGGGACGGTCTTGGTAGGATGGCCCATGGAGCCTCCACACACAAGGCAGCCCACCCGCGTCCTTCTCTCACCCCCCCGCCGCAGGTTGTTCGGGCCCAAGAGGAAGATGACCTCTGCCATTGCTCGCTGGCACAGCAGTGCCCGCCCCCCCAGTGATGCCCTGGAGCTGGCCTATGCTGACCGGCTGGAAGCTGAGATGCAGGAGCTCGCCATCCAGCTGCACAAAGTGAGTGGGGAGCTGGGGCAAGGGACGTGCAGAAATGGCAAGAGGGGCGTCTGCTGACACACCTGCAGTGAAGGACGCAGCCGTGGAGACAGACGCCCAGAGTCCGCAGAGCAGCAGCCAGGGTGGGAGACAGGACAGTGAAGGCAGGGAGCAGGGCAGCTCATGTGCTGAAGGGAGACGCACAGATGGGCACTTGGGAGGGGAGAGGGTGAAGGTGGGGCACAGCAGCCAGCGGGGACACCATGGGGCTCGCAGGCAGGGACCCAGAGTAGGGACACTGAGGAGACAGGCCCCTCCAGGCCAGGAGAAATGAGGCACTCAGACGGTGGAGATGGAATCTGGGGGCAGGGGTGTGGGCAGCCTGAGTGGTCGTGGCCTGGTGTCCCCAAGTGCCCCAGCCCGTTTACCTACCCCACCTGCCACCTTGTCCGCCGCAGCGCTGTGAAGAGGTGGAGGCCATGCGGGGCCAGGTGTCGCAGGAGCAGGAGCTGCGGGCCGTGGTGGAGAGCTGCCTGCTGGAGCAGGACGGAGCCCGCAAGAACGTCCACACACAGCTGCAGGAGACCTGGGCCCTCACCCGGGATGCTGCTGTTATCCTGGACCAGCTGCGGTGAGTGGGCATCTGAGCTGCCCCCGGGCCAGGGCCAGGCTGAGTCATCGTTTCCTCCAGATTCTTCAATCAAGGGGTCATTTTCAGGGCCTTCTGGGGTTACCACCACCCCCCATTTCATTCTGGCTGTTCCTCCCTGCAGGCAGCAGAGGGGCCCTGAGAACCTGCACACCCCAAGTGGGTCCTTCTCTGCCTGGGCCTCACCGGCAGGCGAGAGCCCAGCTTCATACAGGGAGGAGGTGGGTGTTGGCCCCGCGAGGCCTCTCCCCTCACCCGCACCTGCTCTCATGTCCCACAGAGCCTGTCAAGCTGAGCTGTCAGCCCGAGTGAGGCAGGACCAGTACCCGCTTGGGGCCACCCTGGGCCCAGCCCTCCCCACAGCTGGTAAGAGCAGCATCCTGGCCCTGGTACAGGCATGTGGAGGGCAAGACGCCTCTCCAAGCCAGGCTTTACCCCTTGTCCCAGCACCATTATCACACTGACAGACACTCCCAGGTCCCCTCACACGCCCAAGCCCACATCCTCACTGTCCCTCCTGATGGTGGGATGCAGAGGCCCTTCACGTCCAAGGCTTCAAGTGACACCTGCAGCCCTACACTGGGGCCATCCTGAGGCATAGCCTAGCAGTAGGCAGGGACCCTCACACTCTCACTCCCCATGCCAGGCCCTGACTGGCAGTTGGCACTTTGGTCAACAAGTGGGAGAACAAACTGTGATGGAACAAGGGGGTGGTGCCGGCACTGACGGCTGGGTGGGTCCCCTGGTCAAGGTGGCTCAGGACGAAGAGATGCACAGACCCCAGGGCCCACCCAGCCCTCTGCCCCACAGACGCCAAAGGCTGGCAGGCCTCCTTGCAGGCCCTGAGCCTCCCTGAGCTGTCAGGAGCACTGGAGGATCGAGTCCGGGAGATGGGTGAGTCTCTGGGCAGCAGCTCGTGGCTCCTGCCCGCACTCAGGGCCAGATGCGGTGAACAGGGAGAGCCTGCCACAGCCCCCCAGCATCCCCAGCCACCCATTCCTGTGCCCTGCTCGCCCCCCAGACTTGCAAAGCAGTCATTGTCTGCTCCCATCCTCAGGGCGAGTGCTGTGCTCGGTGACCCAGAGCCTGGAGAAGCTGCAGGTGCTCAACGGGAAGGAGAACTGGCGGGAGCCTTAGCCGGGAGGGACGGTGAGTGTCGTCAGCCCAGAACCCAGGCCAGGAGAGGAGGGCCTGCCGTGCAGCTGAGCGAGTGCCCACTGGAGTCTTCCCTTTCCCTTCTCAGAGCTGACGTGGGGTGACGGATCCACCCTGAAGCTGTGCCCGGAGACAGGAGGGCAGTGAGCGGCGGCCGCAGCAGCTGGGTCCCCAGCAGGGCCAGAGGATCGGGCCCCAGGAGCAGCCAGCAGACAGAGGCAGGACGGGGCTGTGGCTGGCGTGAGGGCAGCGAGGCCTGCTCTGAGGCAGGACGAGGGCCTCCTGTCCAGAACCTAGGATTAAGGCCCGGAGCAGGCAGGGCCTTGGGGAGAACGCAGCCCCACACACCACAGGCACCACACTGAATTTGCCCTGACGGATGGGGACGGGCACCTGGGCAGGATATGCCATTTGCTGGAAAATAAAATTTAAGATTGGCTGGTGAGAGGTTCATTTCTGGTCACGTGGCCTCCAGTACTGGCTGATAGACCACTGCAAGGAGACCCGTGCCAGGGCCCTCACCCCAGAACACTGACAGCAGGACCAACTGGGGACCCTTGCTGCCCCACACATCCATCCCCTGCAGCTCAGAGCACCCCACAATTCTACAGAGCTACCCAGAGAGCAAAGCATGCCTCAGAAAATATAGGCGAAAGGTACAGATGTTTTATTTACAGAGCGAAGTGTTTTTGCCCACAAGTGCCGGCCGCTTCATCAAGACTCTAAGGTGGGACAGACGCCCGGGCGGGGCTGAGAGCATTGCTTTCCTTACCAGGCCAGGTTGGCACTGTGGAAACTGGTAGATTCACTGAGGAGTCTTTCCAGACATAAGGCTGTAGGAGACTGCCAGTGGTGACCTTCCTGTCCCACGTGGCTCTTATGCTGTCATTCCACACACTCGGCCAGTGCTTCCAGACTACCTCCCAGAGCTGCCTGCAGACTGTGCTGAAGATGGAAAAAGGGAGGCTTTCAAAGCAAAGGAAAGAGCAGCGGGCTCAGCCCAGGTACCACCAGAGCTCCTGGGATCAGGAGAGGGGCCTTGCATGGTCAGTCCCAGAGAGACTCATGGCTGGTAGCGCCACAGTAAACACAGGGAGGTGTCCAGCACCCCCACCTGGGACAGGCCTGCCTTAGCGCCACTCTGAATGGTGTCCAAGCCCCAGTCTTGGGCCAGCCCCTGCCTGCAGATCACTGGGTAGTGGGGAAGGGGACACCCTCCTGCACTCAGCCCTCAGCCTGCAGCCAGGACCAAAGAACACACAGAGCAGCCGAAGATTGACTTCAGCAGCTCCTTCCTCCAGCAGCTCCAGCTCCAGCTGGGTCCCGACTGTCCTCAGGGATCAAACCCAAGGGAGTAAAGCTGCTTTAAAGTTTTGCTGCAAGTGACGCTAACAACCAAAATTCACAGTCTGTGAAAAAAAAAAATCACAGTGTAACATCCTACCCGAGGCCGGCTCTTCTCCAGGCCCTGGGGCTGACTTGGGGCAGGATGCAGGAAGGAGTCAACCCAGAGCTGCCCTCTGCTAGAACCAAGTCTACTGTGAAAACAGACCAGCTTCTCCAGGGTCCAAGTGCCTGTGCACTTATCCCCTTGAGCAATCGGGCCATACCCGGGGCTCCACAGCCCATGATGAAAGGAGAGTTTGAGTGGGCGCACCCAGGCCACCACCCAGTAACTGCTGAGGTCAGTGGAGGTGACAGGATGCGCACTCCCCCACACAGAATGGGGCAAACACAGAAACATGATGGAAGATACACTCCCACTGGAAGTGAGGGCCCAGCCTCAGCCCTTGGGAACAAGCAGAGGGAGGACGACAGGACGCACAGCGCAACCTCAGGAGGAAGATGGGAGCAGCTTCTCTAGGGCTTTCTTCTGCTTCTCCGTGGCCGCAGCCAAGGCCTCAGCCAGCTTCTCCTCAGGCATCATGTTGAGCACCTTGAGGGCAAAGAGGAGCTGGTACTTGGCTGTGCTGATGAAAGCATTACTCAGGAAGTTGGGAAAGCCACCGACTCGGTCCTTCTGGGTGTACAGTGGGACCCGCACGAGCCCCAGCACCTGCATGGAGAGGAGACCAGGGTTGGGGCCAGGCCCCAGGATAACATGACCCTGGCAGGAGGGGAGGCTTTTGAGCTGCTAGGCCAGGGGAAAGACAGCCAGGTTCTCAAGGACAAAATGGGACACCCGGGCAGGGTCAGATGAGGCAGAAGCCAGCCAGCTCTCTCAGAGCAGTACAGCCCCACTTCTCCCCAGGCAACTTTCAAGGCCACCCCCATGCACCTCCATCCCACCCTCTAGTCCCAGTCCCCATCCGCTGGCAGGAAGCCCCCCAGTCCACACCCCATGCTCCCTCTTACACCTGGTAATCCTAAACACCCCAAGTGTCACTCCTAGCCCTTCCAGACTAAAACCCCCAGGCAAAAAGCCTTCATCTCCCTCACCGTAGGACCTGGTTCATGAACTCAGACCTGCAAGATCCTCTTTTTGCTCTTAAGTGTCCCACCTCCCGAGTAGGCACCGCCCCTTTCCATCCTCCCTCTGATCCCACTCCCCACTCCCAGGATTGGCAATGGCAGGCAGCAAGGCAGATGGAACACAGCCCCGAGGAAGCCCTTGACCCGACCCCTGACTCCCACCCAACCCGGATCCCTAGCCCCTCTACCCAACCCGATGCTGGAGACAGCGACACCCCTCCCAGCCCGGTTGGTGGACCCTCAAGGGGGCGTGTTACCCATCGGTGCCTTCCGCGGGGCCAGAGCCAAACCCGGGGTGGGGGCGGGGCCCGGGCGGCGGCCCCACCGTCCAGGCCGTGGTCGCGCGAGTGCACCGC